GGGGGAAAAAAAAATTCACAAACACAGAAGCTGAGGCAAGAATACCCCAAGTTTGAGGCCAGCCTGGGAACTTCATCAAATCCTGTCTCAAAAAAGGACCAGGTTGGTAGTGTCTCCTGAGTCTGAGACCACTCTCAACTACATAGTGAGTTCAAGACCACCCTAAACGACACAGTTAGACCCTGTCTCAATAAATAATAAAAAAGGACACATAGCATGCATAAGGTCCTAGATTCCATCTCCAGTACTGAAAATCAATCAACTAATCAACAGAACTAAGTTCATCTTTTTTTAAAAAATGTATTTAGTGGGGCTGGAGAGATGGCTCAGTGGTCTAAGGCACCTACTTAGAACAAGCTTGGCAAAGCATCAGGGACCACGGTTCAATCCCCCAGCACCACATGCCAGCCAGCCCCGCCCCCTGGTGGGCTGAGCTGGCCACACACACACACACTCTCTCTCTCTCTCAAATAAATAAAAATTTAAAAAAAAAAAAAATGTATTTAGTGGGGATGGCTCAGTAGAATAAGTGCTTCCCTGGAAAGCGCAAGGGCCTGAGTTCAATCCCGAGTTCCGCCAAAAAAAAATAAAATAAAATATATTTAGGACAGGGTCTACAGGGTCTCACTACATAGATCAGACTCCTGTTTTCAGCCTCCCAAGTGCTGGGATTACAGTCGCATGTCACCATGCCCAGTCTCAGCTGCCATCTCAGTGCGCCACAGGGGTGGGGCCAGCAGGGCACGCCAGGGATCAAACCCCAACCGCTGCGCTCTGCCTAAGCAGGCACTTGAGTCCACTGAGCTATCTGACGGGCCCAGAACTAAGTTCACCTTGACTGTATTCAATGTTTAGGAAAAAATACTTCATTTCCTTGAACCTCCGCTTATCCATCTATACAGCGGGGCTCCATTAAAATAAAAATAAACAAAAACACAAAAGCCACCTTTGGTGCCCTTCTCAAGCCTCAGACCATTCTGGACTTCATGCTCCATGGCCCTCTGCATGGCAGTGTTCTCACAGCCTTTAAGAACCCTCACACATGAGGGAGCTCCCAGGGCAGATGCACTTGGAAAAGCTGACCATCAGGTCCATACTGGAAATCTGCATGACTGACAAAAGACACTTCGGGAGCAGGTGAGATGGTGGATTAAGTGCCTACTCTGGCTACTGCAGGGACCAGGATTATGATCCCCAGTCCTTGCACCCTGGGCGCACTGAACCAGTGACCGGGTCTGGGCGTGGTAGCACAAATCTGTAATCTTAGCACTGGGGAAGCTGAAAACAGGAGGACTCTCATGGAGTCTGAGCTGCAGAGTGAGACCCTGTACCAACCAAATACAAAGTGGAAAAAAAAAAAAAAAAGACACTTTAAACAAAGTAAGATTCATACCACATAAATAAGGGCTCAGATTATAAAATTATCTCATCTATGAAACTATTCTAAACACTCTTTTGGAATTTGAGCAGCTAAATTTTTTGGCGTCAGTGTAAGGTCACAGTAAATAAAAAGGCAACGTTAGGGATGGACATATGGTATTATGGGAACATGATACTTCATTCCTTGTTTTACTGTTTTGTTTTCCATTTTAAGACTGGGTCTCAATATGTAGTCCAGGCTGGCTTTGAACTTGCTATGTAGGTCAGGCTGGGCTTAAACTCAAGACAACCTTCCTGCCTCAGCTTCCTGAGTTCTGGGATTACTGGTGTGCGTCACCATGCCTGGCTTAATTTCTTATTTTCAAACAGATGAAAAAAAAACAATGTATTTCCAATACCTCATCAAGATCCTTAGTTTCTCTGCCCAATTCGTCATCATCTTCATCAGAATCAAGTTCTGGTCCAATGTAATTCCCAAACTCATCGTACAAGTCAGTATCCATGCTGCTGAAATTCACAGACAACAGTTAGGCTCTGGCAAGGTCACCACGTGCTGAGGCACACCCCCACGCTTCTCATCGTCCGGCCACCATATCTTTGCACACCTCTTCTCCAAGCGTAACTCTTGACTGAGCCCCTGAAAATTTCACTTTCCCGAATTACTCTCTTCCAGTTCTTTTTCAGTCAATGCTTCCACATAACCACAAAATCAGAAAATATCACATATTTGCATGTATAAGTACTTGTTAAGTCTATCCTTTCAATCTAAAACAGCTCCCTCTTCTCTTTCCCGTGCTACCAGAGAATGAGCGGCAAATGATTTCAATTTGTCCCACGAGGGGTGAGGCTGACTTTGATCCCTTGACTAGGGTGTTTGCCTCTTCACTGTACTCATCTTCCCCGTGTAATTAACTAACACTGTGTATTTTCTCCACTTCAACTACTGAATCCTATTCACAGGAACAGTTCTGGGTTTTTTGGTTTTTCTTGAAATAGGGTCGCACTGTGTAGTTCAGGCTGGCCTTTTAACTTGCTATGTAATCCAGGGTGACCTAGAGTTCACAGTGATCCTCTTGCCTCAGGCTCCTGAGTGCTGGAATTACAAATATATGGCTCTCAAGAACAATTTTTTGTTGTTTTTGTATTTTGGACAGGGTCTACAGGGTCTCACTGCATAGACCGGACTCATAGCAATCCTCCTGTGTTACAGCGCACAGGGGGCCCGGGGATTGAACACAGGGTAAGCCTGCCTAAACCGGTGCCTTAATCTCCTGAGCTATTTGGCCCGCCCTTCACAAGAACAGTTTAAATGTTACCTCTTTCAAGTCTTCCCAGATCCTCTATTCATTTTCTAAGCTATTATAACCTCGTGCACTTTTACCAGCATTAATTCTTTCCTGAACAATAGTGAACGGTACTAATTACCCTCACCAACTCAACAATTTGTCAGTAACGACCAACAGGCTACAGGTTGGGGTGTACCCTAGACCAAGGCCTGGAGCTAAAGTGTAGATTCAAATTTTATCTTCATCACTAACAGTATGTAGCTTCAGATAATTTACTTCCCTTTCCACATGCTTACTTAGCTGGAAAATGGAGTGAATAATCCTCACTGCATAAAAAATCGTGAGGGTTGGCTATGGTGGCTTTCCTCACAACAGCTCACCATTGTCCTCCAGGGCATACTTTTAGCTGGCTTTTTCCTCTTTCACTCAGCCCAAGCTCACACTGCAGACATAGTTTCTCTCTCACTCTTTACTCCTTTTTTAAACACACACTGTCAGTGTTAAAAAAAAATTATGAGACTTAAGTAAAATACCCCGTGAAAGGAATCACACACACACACACACACACACACACACACACACACACACCGGTCCTACCAGCGTTAGGTGGCATTATTTCGGGCCAATGTTGAAAGACTAGTATTTTATACCTTCGCCTCCCCATTAGAGACGAAAGCACTTGTCATTAAAAATAAGTTATCTGGGGCTGGTGAGATGGCTCAGTGGTCTAAAGCACCTACTTGGAACAAGCTTAGCAGAGCACAGAGACGGCGGTTCAATCCCCCAGCACCACATGCCAGCCAGCCCTGCCCCCTGGTGGGCTGAGCTGGCCACACACACACACGCACACACATAAATTTAAAAAAATCCGAAACGTAAGTTATCACGGAATCTTCCCTGTGCCTTTGTACTTCCCAACGGACACCATCTCTGCTCAACCCCCACCTCGAGTCCCACGCGGCGACTACCAAGCCTCTGCCCATCTCAGGTCTCCGACCTCGCCAGGCTGGGCGCCACCCCGCCCCGGTCACTCGGGAGCCCCTCGCGCTCTCGCCAACCCCCCTTGCAGCGCGTTACCGACACCACCAGCAGCCGACAGACGCTTCTTACTAGTTTCTCACCCACGGCCCCAGCTGCGATTTCGGCAAGGACGCTGCTTCCTCAGGACAGCGCCCGACACTAAACAGGCCTGTTCCGCAGGCGTAACGGACCTTCGGCAGAGAGAAGGCCCAGAGCAGTGCGGGCGAGGACCGGACAGTCCGGGCCGGGCCGCCGGGGAACGCGGGGCGGCGAGCGGGGCGTGCGGCGCGCCTTCGGTCTTTCCCGCCCAAGGCCTCAACGTGTCACCCGGAAGGGACGACGCGCGCGTGGCGCCTCCTCCAGAGCTAACGTTCCCGGACGTACGGCCCGCCCGCCCACGCCCCGCGCCGCTCACCTCCCGAGGCCTCGCTGCCCCGAGCGCCCGAGCCCGCCGCCGAGGCCGCGCTTCCGCCCCACGCCGCGACGACGTGCGCCCGGCGCCCGCGCCCGCCGCCAGGAAGGACCCCGCGTCGCCCAGTCCCTGCCTGAAACCGGCTCCGAAAACTGCCCCGCGGAGGCAGGGACTGAACGGCGGCGTTTTAGGCCCACAAACGAAGGCGTGGGATGAGTCAAAGAATTTGGGTCGGCGCGGGCGCGAATCTGAGCAGGCGCCCCGAGGCCACTCTAGGCGGGGGCTTTCCGGTCGTCACGTGGGCGGGCTGGTGGCCCAGTTGCTAGGCAACCCCTGCTGCCGGCTGTGGCGCGAGCCCGGCTGCTCTCTGGTCTTTAGGTATCGCGGGATCCCTAAAGAAAACAAGGCTGGGGCTGCTGGGGTGAAGGCCCGCGGGCTGGGTGATGAGGAAGGAGTGCGGTTCTGCTCACTGGATGACTGGGCAGGGCCCAGAACTGGACGCGAGCCGCCGCACCCGAGTCCAGTCGCTGGCCAGCCCGGGCGTCTTCTGGGCGTTTGACTTCCTCAGTTGGGAGAGGGCTGACCGGGGATGGACTGCAGACCTCCTGCCCCGGAGCTGTGCGGGACTAAACCACAGAATTCAGCTCGACTTGCCAGGAGTCTGGGCTTCACAGAGGTCTCGTAACAAGTAAATAAACGCCAGAGCCGTAGAGATTCCTTATAGAAAGGACCAGTCATGGGGCCGGGGAGCTGGCTCAGGAGAATAAGCGCTTGCCCGGCAAGCTCAAGGGCCTGAGTTCAATCCCCGGTTCCGCAAAAAAAAAAGGACCAGTGAGTCTCGGGTACCCGGAGGGTACAGAGCCAAGGGGCGGAGCGATGCGGCTCCCGGGGCTCGGGTACCTCCAGCCTCGGCCACCAGAGGCGTGGGGGCGTGGCACTCCTTCCTCGGTCCCTGCTGCTGGTTTTCCTTCTCAGTCCTTGCCTCTGTTTGAATGAAAAACAGCCTCCATTAGAAGCACTTACAGCTGAAATTGTATTCTCGGGCACCAGGTACCTAACAAAAGAGCTGCTTTTGTGTGAGTTCCTCTTTGACCACAACTCGCTATGTGGAAGAAGGAAGCAACTGAATTCTAGAGTCCAAATGCCGCCTCAGCTGAGGTGCCAGAATTGTTGTGGTTACTGTTTTACCTAGGGTGTGGCACGTGTTAAGCTAAATTGTACCTCCAGCCCGTAAAGTATTTTCATAGCTGTGGAACAAAGTGCGGGCAGGGGTCTAGCTACTCTGAAAGCCAAGATGTATCTTATGTAAGTCCTTGGTATTTATTGCAGTTTGTATTAGCAGAATAGAAAGCCAGATTTTTGTAGCCCTCTGCAAGACAAGTGTCGGAGTGCCTTGGGGTGGTTCTGAGTTCCGGCAGGCAGCCCAGAGGCCTCCCCTCGTCTCTCTGATGCTGAACCCTCACCCTTCCGCCCTCCCTTCGCCCACCCAGGCGAGAGCCATGGAAAGGAATGGCGCGGTCGACTTCAAAGCTTTGGAGAAAGAGCTGCGGGCGGCACTTGCTGCTGATGAGAAGTATGAGCGGGAGAACGCTGCCAAGTTTCGGGCTGTGGCGCAGAAGGTGCCCTCCTATGAAGACTTCAGGTTGGCTCCCTGCCGCTCTCCCCAAGCCCTGGGGTTCTGGCGGCAGAAGGAGGGTGGACAGCAGCACGCGGAAGTCAGCCTCCGCGGACGTCTGCCGGGCGCGGTCTGGGCCTGGGGACCTCCACCTGTCCTCGCTGTTGTTCTCTTTTTGAGACAGGGTCTTCCTATGCAGTTCAAGCAGGCTTTGAACTCATGTAACCCAAGCAAGCCTCCTGCCTCAGCCTCCCAAGTGCTGGGATGACATGCATGCGCCACACCCTGTCTTTGCTGTTGTTCTTGTCACTGAGTTCCGCCTACAGGCTGGTTGTCTCAGACCCACAGCCACAATGTTAACTTCACCCTCCAGTGTCTGTCGCTTGCCCATAGGAATATCGTCCTTGCGTCACATCTAAAGCCACTAGAGCGGAAGGACAAGATGGGTGGAAAGCGAACTGTGCCCTGGAACTGTCACGCTACTCAGGGAAAAACCTTGCAGGAGCATGTGGCCACGGAAATGCCCCAGGCAGGCAAGGCCCCGCCCACCACCCTTAAGCCCCGGCCCCACCCAACTCTGTCCCACAGCCTCAGCTGTCGCTTTGCGAGGCAATTCTCCTTTATGGCTCAGGATAATCCGACTGAATCAGGATTCGTCCTCCATCCCAGAAGGAAAAGTGGCCAGCACTTGGCAGGGCTCCTGGATGGGGGCAGAAAAGTCAGAGGCGGGCGAGGCAGGTCTTATGTCAGTCCTCAGACTTTTATTCTCAGATGAGATCTGGATTGCACTGCCTTGGTCCAGGGGGCAGACAGGGTAGCATTCCTGCTGCAGATTTGCTTTTTTTCCCCTGTATTTTAAGGAAGGGTGTTCAGGGTCTCTCTACTAGATTGGGCTTGTAGAGATTCTCCTGTTTACAGCCTCCTAAGAGCTGGGATTACAGGCGCAAGTCCCTAGGCCCAGTCTCAATTGCAGTCTCAGTGTGCCCTGGGGGCAGGGCCGGCTCGGCAGGCCCAGGGATCAAACTCTTGGCCTCTGCGCCTGCTTGCAGACACTTTAATCCGCTGGAGCTATTTGGCCAGTCTTCCTGCTGCAAATTTGGAAGAGGCCCCGCCAGCCCAGACCTTGAGGTGCTCACCTCTGGTGGGGTGCTGTCCACTCCTCTACCCTTCTCATAGTAAACCCCAGTTTCCTCTGAAGGCCAGCACTGTGTCCCCCTCACAAGTAGGAGCCCTAGGTCCCCTCTTCTTGTTATTTTGTCTCACACTGAGGCCCATGGGTAGCACAGTCGGACAAGCCCTGGGCCCCTTTACCTCCTGTGCTGCAGGAGGAGGCGCCCTTCCAGCCTGGGACCTCGGCAGAGTTCTACCGTGACTGGAGGCGACGCTTGCGGAGTGGACCAGAGCGTTACCAGGCCCTGCTGCAGCTCGGGGGCCCCCGGCTAGGGTGCCTCTTCCAGACGGATGTGGGGTTTGGACTCCTTGGAGAGCTGCTGGAGACCCTGGCCAATCATGTGAGGCCAGCTGACCGGGCAGCCGTGCTGGGGGTCCTCCACAGCCTGGCGGGCACTGGGCGCTTCCGCCTGAACCTGAGCCTGCTGAGCCTCTCCGAGCGCGAGTGCTGCCAAGCCCTGTTCCAGAAACTGCAGGCCATGGGTGCCCCCGGGGCCAGGACAGGGCAGGAGGTGCTTGGTGGGGGGCAGCAGGGTACAGAGCCAGAGCAGGACCTGCTGCAGGAGCTGTGGGTGCTCTACCAGCTCCACTAAAGCTTGGCCAGCCCTGTGGCCCAGGAGTCACCATGACACCTTTGGTGTGGCTTGGGGTTTCTGCCTACTTCCCTCCTCAACTGGGCATTTTCAGAGTAAACGCTGGAATGGAGTCTTACCGTTTCTCAGTTCTTCAGTGTCCGCTCCCTCCCCTTTTCTGATTCAGAGGGCCAAGCCCAGGACATTTGCACTGAGCTGGGCCTCCAGTGCCTCTTATTTTTACTTTTTAATTTTGAGGCAGGGTCTAACTAAGTCACCAAGTTGCCCAGTTGATTTTCCTGCATCAGCCTCCCAGAGTTTCTGGGGTTACAGGCACACACACCATTACCCCACTTGGGTATTTCAAGTTGTGTCAATACACAGGGCCAGGGCCAGGGCTCAGTAGAATAAGTGCTTGCCTGGCCAGCACAAGGGCTTGAGTTCAATCCTCGGTTCTGCCAAAAAAAAAAAAAAAAGAAAGAAAAATACACAGGTCCACCAAAAGTGCAGGACCCTGGAAGGAGGCTCGCTTCCCTCTGTGTATTAAGAGCTATGAACCAGAATATTTACAACCCTAGGCCAAGGTCAAAAGCTCCTTTCTTTGAGGTGCAGAGTTTGTGCCTTTGGTTTATGTGTGGCCCGAGGCCCTGTGCTGGGCAGGGACGCCCTCCCCTCGCCCCAAAGGTGATGAAAGGGAGGTTTCTTGGGGAGGCCCAGCGCCCTGCCGCACTCTGAGCCTCGGCCCATTCTTGGCTGGCACCAACGTTCTGCGAGGTAAGCAGGGCTGGTTCTAGAATGACCAGGCCCGGAACGCGAGGGGCTACGTGTGCCTGCTGGGAAGGAGGCACCCAGGCTCTAGCTGCTTGCCATGCAGCTGGCTTCTTTTCTGGGCTCACGCTGTATTCCCCCCTAGGCAGTGATTTCCGGAAGCACCCGCGGTCTGGGTGGCCCGCTCTCCTTCCCTCAGGCACCCCTGCCCCATGGGTCCGACTCGTGTTGCTGTGCTTCTGCGGGCCTGGGCCATGCTCAAGGCCTTTGAGGTCATGGAGAAGGAGAACATCTTCCAGAAGACTCCCTGTCCTGCCTTCCTGATGTTCGACAATGCTGCCTACCTGGCCGACATGAGCTTTGAGCTGCCCTGCCACTGCAAGCCCGAGCAGGTGCTGTCAGTGGTCTGGTTCCACCAGAAGCACCTGGGCAGTGGCCACACCCAGGTGCTCACAGACTTTGACGGGCAGCTGTTGAGGGAAGCTGCGCAGGTGCGCATGGGCAGCAACGTGCTGGCCCGCTTCAGCATCCGCATGTTCAGCCTGCTGGTGTACCGTGCACAGCCTGAAGACTCCGGCCTGTACTTCTGTGGCACCCACCAGGGCGACTACTTCTATGCCTATGATGTGGACATCCAGAGCAGCGAGGGGCTGGTAGCTGCCTTTGAGGACAGGGGCCAAGAGCCCTCTGTGGACGAGCGGCATGGGGGTCTCCGCCTCTTTACCGCCTTCTGGGAGTGGACGCCCTGTGACCGCTGTGGGGTGCGTGGGGAGCAGTGGCGCTTGGGGCTGTGCTATCTACAGAGCCCAAACCTCCCACCACGGTACCACACAGCGCCACCTGGTGTGGTATCCTGTGGCTCTCAGGCTGTGCCCAGGGGCCTCCGAGCTATGGCCATGGCCCATGCTCCCGAGCTGCTGGTGCGGAGCTGCCAGGTCCCCTGCACCAACCAGAGCCGGGTCCGCGAGGGCATCCTCACACTCTACAGCTATGTGTCCAGGCGGGGCAGCAGGCCCTGGCTGCCTCGGGTGCCCATCCAGTTCCACCAGCAGAGACTGGGCCATGGGCTCATCCTCTCCTGCCCCGGGGCGCGGCCTGAGCATGCAGTGGCCTGGGACAAGGACCGCCAGCCCCTGTACCACACCCAGTACCTGAAAGGTATTAACAGGTCCATGCGGGTGTTCATTGACCATGGCCACCAGCTGCACATCCGCTTTGCCCAGCGGAGTGACCGTGGCACCTACTACTGCTGGCGCCAGGGTACACGGGTAGCAGGCATCCGGCTGGGCGTGACAGCCCGGGGGCACTACCCAGCCTCACTCTCGGACCCTGAGACCCGCTCTGCCCTGCGCCTAGCCCTGCTCAGCTACCTGTTCCTGGCGGCCGTCTTCATTGCTGTCCACCTCTGCCGCTCCTGCTGCTACTTACTCCGCTGTTGTCCAGACTTGTCCCCCTAGGTCCCCGCCCCTCAGCCCTGCAGCCTCTGTGCTCCTCCCTCTGTGGTGGTTGGTGTGCAGGACACCATGGTGTCCATGGTGGGGCAGACCCATTGGTCACCACCTGCTTCCCAGTTTTGTGGTCTGAGGCCTGATCTGGGGCCGAGGTTGGAAGGGATGGAGCCAGCATGTGTGTCGTGCTCAGCCCCGAGAAGGGGCATAAACAGTGCTCTGCAGTGACTGCTGGAGCTGCTGGTATCTTTGGGGACTGCTGAGGGGCTTTGGGGAGGAGGGCATGGGGGGAGCTGGCCAAGGCCTCCTGGCTTCCTCCTGGCATCCTCTGGGATGGTGACCAGTGAAGGGTGGAGGGAGACCCAGGCCTTCCCTGGGCCAAGCAGTGCAGCTAGGGTGAGGGGTGCAGCTTCTGGTGGGGTTCCAGACCCGGGGGAGGGGGCAGCCTCTCCTGGGAACAGACCAGAGACCACTCAGAAGGTGGAAAGTAAAGAAGCACAGCAAGGTCTTTTTATTTTTCTGGGCAGGTGAGGGGTGGGTGGTAGTGGAAGCAGGAAGGGAAGGTGGATAGCTGGTGTGGCGAGGGGAGGAGGGGCACGGGGGACATCAGCCCTCCGCAGAGCAGAGTTCTGCAAGGAAGAGGGCATGCAGGGCAGCTGCGGAGCTGAGTGGCTACACTGGGACGGCGGCCTCTCCTGATTCCCTCCCACATGTCACTTCCTCAGCTCCCACCACAACCCCATGTAGCCCTGACCAGCAGCCCACGCCCTCACCCAGCCAGGTGTCCTCTGGGGTTTGGCCTCTCTGAACCCACTCCTGGGGCGGCAGCACCCCACTCCTCCCCAGCACCCTCCTCCTGCACTTCCTGTGCTCCTAGAGCCAGGTCCCTGCTCCACGTCCTGAAACCACACTTGGGCCTCGCAGGCCAGGGCTCCGTCCCGTGCCCACCAGGGCTGCAGCACTGTCTGCTGTTCCCAGGCGGCCAGGGCCCTTCTAGAAAGCAGGCGTACGGCCTTGAATGGGGATGCCCGTCTCAGCAGTTCTGATTCCCCTCTAGCACTAGCTCTGACAACAGCTGCTATAATGATAGGATGTGACTTCCTGTCCCACCTGCGTCTGCCTGCCCACTTCTAACCGTGCCACCGGCCTCACCCTCCCATCTGCCCTGTGGGAAGAGCACTGTTAGTTGAAGATGCTGGGTGCTGGGTGCTGGGCAGGCCTAGTGTGACCTTGTGGCATACTGGTGTGGAGAGGGCATGGGGGTGGCCAGCCTGGCAGGGATTAGCTACAGAGGACTGGCTGCCCTCACTCCACAGCCCTGGCCTCACATGGCGTCCTTGTGCTCCTGCTTGGACTCCTTAATGACCTGCAGGGAACAGTAGGCCCCACGCGGCCGTGAGGGACTCGCACAGACCCTAGTCCCCGCCAGCCTAGGTCTGCTCATGAGGGGCTACGGTCACCCCGCCAGTGAGCTGAAATCCCACCTGCACATGCACACTAGTGGTGCTGGAAGGCGTGCGGGGACAGGGACACCAGGGGCCCTCTCCCATTCCTTGCATGTGTGGGTTCCTGCTCCCTCCCTGGTGCCTCTCGCCTAGGCAGCACCAGCCCTGCAGTGGGGGAAGGGTGGGGCTCGGGGCCTCACCTCCCCATCACGCATCTCTACCGTCTTGACCACGATGTTCCTCTTGAGGTGGCCTTCGGACACGGACTTGGTGTCCAGGCTGGTTTCTGCAGGCAGAGAAGAAGCTTTCATGACCAGCTGCCCCATGCCCCGCTCCCATTATGGCCTCAGCTTGGTGGGCTCCAGGCTGAGCCACCTGAGGGGCTGCGCCTGCTCTGTGCTGTCCTCGGGCTACTGTCTTTAGCTCTGGCACCCTGCTTCCTGACAGCACAGCGGTGTGCCAGGGATGGAGCAGTGGGCATGGAAACCTGGCAGACGAGCTGAGTCCCAGCACATGACTCCCAGTCCCCACCTGGCCTGCTTACTCCTGGCCAAGGGGGTGGCCATGCCTGCTGCCTGGGCACACGAGGGAGTGCTGTGCTCTGTCAGACCCTGTGGTGTTGGTGCTCAGTATGCATCAGCCTCTTCCTGACCCGTTGCCTGTCACCCATCTGCACCTGGGGACCCCAGTGGTCCAACAGAGCAGGGCCACCCCAGCTAGCTGGGCCACACTGGCCTCCCTGAGCTAGGCCTTGGCTCGCGTGCTGCCAGTCCTCCGGAATCCTGCCCCAATCGGGGGCTGGTCTTTTTTCTTCTCTAAGTACTATTTGAGGGACACAGAACAACAAAATTAATTTAGCCCCCACCCCCGAGAGAAGGGAGAGAGAAAGGGCAGGTCACTGGCCACTGTCACTGACACCGCAACCAAGTACAGGGAAGAAAGCTTTGCTCTTGCAAGAGCTGCAGCTGGAGAGAAGCAACCCACCAGGCTGACTCAGCGCCGGGCCGGGCCTCGGGCACAGGTGGTCAGCGGGCAGAATGGCACAGCCCGGCTGGGTGACCATGGCTTCCCGAGACGGGAGGAAAGGCCAGAGCTGGTGCCCGCCCGTGGCCCTGAGCGCTTGACCTGGACACCGGGCAGCCAGCCGTGCTCGACAGTCACCAACCCTGCGAGGGGACCCTACAGTCGGCCTCCAACAGTTCCCGGTTTGGTCACAAGGTCCCTGGGAAGCATGACTGTGCTGGGCCTCTAGGAGATACCCGGGAGGAGGGGCTGGGGGGCTGGGAGGATGGCAACAACGTGCACTCCAGCCCTGCTGTGAGGGGCGCTAACCGAGAGCCGGCGGCTCTGTCTACATTCTGCAGGCCCTGCACTGGGATAACAAGCATGGTGAGCCTTTTGAGGTGTCTGGTGACCTCGTGGACCTCCCCTTCTGTGGCGCCTTTGCCTCCTGCAGCAACAAGCAGTTAAGAAACAGAAACACAAACCAACCCAAGGCGGGCTCCACCCTGCCCTGCCAAGGAGCAGGTGGGAGCCCCCGCAGGGCTGGGATGCTGTGGTGGCCAGGATCTGCGTTGGTTGTGAGGGCCCTGGGACAGTGCTGACCAGCCCCAGTCCAGCCTGGGCAGGACGGGAAAACCCCCATCCCAGGGTCACCGCTGACCTCGGATCTGCAGGTTTGAGAAGGTCTGCACAGGAATGGTGATTCTGGAGGACAGAGAGGGCCGGATGAGCAACTGGCTGGGGTCACCCAGCGGGGGAGCCTGTGTCTAAGGTGACTTGGTCCTGGCAGCACGGTTCAGATGCCCTCCCGGTGGGCTGGCTCACCGGCTCTCCTCGCCCTCCAGCAGCTTCCGGTAGGTGGCAATCTCAATGTCCAGGGCCAGCTTGACCCTGAGCAGCTCCTGGTACTCCTGCAGGTGCCGGGCCATCTCGTCCTTGAGGCCCCGGCTCTCCTCCTCGAGCCGCGCCAGCGCCTCCTGGTAGCCAGATGCCTCTCGAGCATGGCGTTCCTCCTGTTCCCGCATCTGGCGCTCTAGGGACTCGTTCTACGGGACAGGATGATGTCCCTGGAGGCGGATGGCCCAGGGTGCCAGGTCCTGCTGTGTCCCCAGCCCCCAGGCTCACCGTGCCCCGCAGGGACTCCAGGTCACAGGTCAGGGCCTGCAGCTGGCGCCGATAGTCGTTGGCCTCGTGCTTGGCCTGGCGTAGCAGCTCGGCATTGCGGGCAGCTGCATCTGTGAGGTCCGTGAACTGGACAAGGAGAGAGAGGCTCATGTTGGGTGGGGGCTGCAGGGCTGGGGCAGGAAGTCTCTGTCCCCTCCCCAGACTGGACTCCGTGTCCCACCGCACCACCAGGCCAGGACTTCCTGAGCTCATCTCCTCAGCCTGCAGCTGCTAGCCCTGCCCAGCTCCAGTGCCCCCCCCCCCGCCCTGGCCACTCCTGGGTATCAACCTGCCTGGTGGGCACCCAGTGACACTGTATAGGGCGAAGGTCACATCTGCCTGTCAGTGGCCCTCTGCATCCCTGACACACGGCAGGCATTTAGTGGCCAGGACTCGGATAGCAGAGGCATGGAGAGCTTGCACTCTCAGGGGCTGGAGGCCCCGTTGTCCCTCAGGAAGCCTGCAATGGTGGGCAGGGTACTTAGTCTCTGGGTGTCAGTTCTGGTCTGTCACAGGGCCATGCGTCACAGGGAGATGGCCAGCGCTGCCCAGTAACGTTGGTCAGAGACAGCCCGCAGCAGAGATGGCAGCCATGATGCCGCGTGCTCTGGGGTGCGCCAGTTGCTCCTGGCCTAGGTGAAGCCCCAGCCCGCACCTGGGGAGGTCACAGCCTAGAGCTGTCTCGCCCATCGCCCAAGTCCTACCTTGGAGCGGTACCACTCCTCTGCCTCCTGCATGTTGCTGGAGGCCGCGGCCTCGTACTGTGTGCGGATCTCCCTCAGGGCTGCTGTGAGGTCAGGCTTGGTCATGTCCATCTCCACATGGACCTGCTGCCTGGCCAGCTGTTCCTGGAGCTCCCGCACCTCCTGGCCAGGGAGGGAGAAGCGCCAGGCCTCAGCCCCAGCATCCCACAGGGAGCCTCAGCCTCCAGCTGCAGGCTGACGCAAGGAGCTGGTGTCCATGGACGCGTATCTGTGTTCACCAGCTGTGGGGGCGTCCCCGGGCTCTAGGGCCTGACCCAGAGCTCAGTAGGACCTTTTCATTTTATGAATGGCCCTCATCATGACGGAGGCAGATGGAGTCTGAGAGGCTAAAAGTGCTGTGACTTGGCAATCCTTGACCTCTGGGGCTCAGGGGTCTCTATGTATGAGAGGAGCTGTGGGGTTCCTGCCTCAGGGCCTCAAGCTTCTGCACCCTTGTGTGGGGTCAAGGGCTGCTTTGGGCTGGGCTCCCTGCCTTTAGCCCCACCTCTCCGCCCTGATTTGTCTGTCTCTGGGTCTCTCTGTCTTTGGGTCTGGGTCTCTTCTGTCTCTGTCCCCAAGACTCTCTGTCTCAGTCTCTGGGTGTCTCTGTCTCTTTCTCTTAGGCTCTCTATCCAGAGCCTCCTTTCTCCATCCCAGCCTCACCTCCTCGTGGACCTTCCTCAGGAACCGGATCTCCTCCTCCAGGGACTCGATTTTCCTCTCCAGGTCCAGGCGGGCCAGTGTGGCATCGTCAGCTTCCTGGGGTAGCAGAGGCTGCAACTGCTCTGACCCAGCCCCTCCACCCAGGTCCACCGGCCTCACCCCTTCCCGTGTGACAGTGCCCAGCCACCTCACTGCCCTGACCTGTCTGTAGCTGGCCAGGCTGTTCTCGGCCTCCAGCCGCATGGTGGCTTCATCCTGGAGCCTAGGGGGTGTGGGGAGGTCCATGGCCCTGGGTCCAGGTGTCTGTCAGAGACCCAGGGCCACGGAGTGGCAGGAGGGGAGGCTCAAGGGGACCTGTGTGTATAGCCCTGGGGTTTTCCCAGTTTCATTTCCATCTCTGCCTTATGGCTGTGCAGATCAAAGTGCCTTGGGGAGGGTCAGAGGCCTGTGACTGGCACACCTGATTCTGCACCCAGCCCGGCTGCTTTCTCCTCAGGGATGCTGCCTTCTCCTCCTGCCACCCGCCTTATAGACCCAGGTGCAGAGGAGACCCCAGCCCAGCTTCCACAACCCAGGCCCCCCAGATGGGGAGGGGCTGGCTCCAGGAGGGACCTGTGTTCCGCCCCTGGTGCCCCCTGCTGCCACCCTTACTTCTGCTGCAGGGTGCCCAGGTCCTGGGCCAGGTTGTCACGCTCCACCTCAAGCCGGGCACTGCCAGCTGTGAGCTGGTCCAGCCGCAGCCTGAGCTCCCGCAGCTCGGCCTGATAGACATCAGCCAGCCGAGTGGGCTCTGCAGCCCGCAGCTGGTTCAGCTCCATGGCCAGCGCCTTGTTCTGCTGCTCCAGGAAGCGGACCTTCTCAATGTAGCTGGCAAAGCGGTCGTTGAGCTCCATCATCTGGGCCCGCTCGCTGGCCCGTGTCTCCTTGAAGCCAGCGTTGAGAGCCCCAGCCATTGAGAAGTCCACCCGGGCAGGGACTGGGGGTGACATCCAGGCCAGGGCCGGGCGGAGGCCAGGACCTGGGCGGCGTGTGGCCCCCAGGCCTCCAACCACAGTCTCCGAGGAGGAGACATAGGAGCGGCGGGCAGAGGACAACACGCGTCTGCGCTCCATCCTGCAGCCCACAGGTCCAGTCTGCAAGGGCTTTATGGAGCCCAGGCTAGGCTGGCTGTGCCAGGCTGCCCAGCAACGCCCCTGGCATGGCCTGAGGGGGTGGGGCTGGGCCGGGGCCAGGCCCATGGGGCTGCTGTGCTCAGGGGCAGTGCTTTCCAAACAGGAGCCCCCGCCTGGCAGGGTGCTGGGGCTGGGCAGGGACCACACAGCAGGGAGACTCTCTCCAAGACACTGGGTCAATAGAGGCCTGATGTCCTCTGACCTGCCTCATTTTGTTTTGCTATACTGGGGATTGAGCCCAGGGGTGCTCTATCACTGAGCTATGTTCCCACCCACCCTCCTTGGATGTATTTTTTGAGACAGGATCTCGATGTGTAGCTCAGGGTGGTCTTGAGCTCACAATGTAGCCCAGGCAGGTCTCCAACACATGGTGATCCTCCTGCCTCAGCCTCCTGAGTACTGGGATTACAGACATGCACCACCATGCCCAGCTCCCACCCCTTTTTAAACCTTTATTTTGAGGCAGGTTCTCACTAAGCTGTCCAGTCTGGTCTCAAATTTGCAATCCTCCTGCCTCCACCTCCAAGTAGCTGGGGTTATGGGCATGTACCACCGCAGCTGGTTCTCTGCTTTAGATGGCATAAGCTGGAGCCCCTGACTCAACTCCCCTCTGTGCCCACAAAGGCAGTCTGGGGAGCCTCACACACGGTCCTGGCTGAGCCCCAGACTGTACACAGACCCCTGTCTCGCTCTCTCCTCTGTGCTAGGCCTGGGCTGTGGGGGAGAGGATAGGGGTGAACCAGGTCTCCAGATGTCACAAAAGAAAGAGGGGCAGCTTCTTCCTCCTCCCACTTACCTCCCTGTATCCCCAAAGCCAGGTCTTAGCCCACAAAGTGGTTCCAAGTGACCTGGCAGCACCAGTGGTGCCTGTCTTTGTGGTACTGTTTCCCTGGTCACCAACCCACTCCCCTCAGTCCTGGACCTTCAGTGGGGGGCTGTGTCTGGGAACCAGAGCCGCTGCTCCATCCAAGGTGAGTGAGGGGTGAGTGGTTACAGAGGCCCTACTACCTCAGGACCCAGCCAGCACCTCAGTGTCTGTGCCCTTCAGCTCTTGAGAAGCAGAGACCCGCGTGCACACGTACACGTGCCCTGCACGCGCACACATACACAGGCAACAGGCTCACTCTACCTCCCCTGGGCCCAGCCTCCGCCTCCCGGGGCCCCCACTGTCCCTGAACCTGGGTCCACTGAATGGCCTTTGTTCCCCACTGTCAGGCACCACAGGCCAAGGCTGCCCAGGGCATGCACGAGTGTGTGTACACGTGTGCACACGCTTCTATCCCATGACCCTGCGTGTCAGGTGGTGCTGTGAGCCCCCTCCAGTCTTCCCGGAATGAGTCTGAGGGCCAAGGGAAGCGGGCTGTGTGCCCACCCAGGCCATTGTGTCTGTGCCAGGCTGAGTCACCAGCGGGCGCCAGAAGGGCTGTGGCTGGCCCAGTGCTGCCAGGCTGGGGACAGCCGGAGCCTGCGGCCCCCACCCCAGAGCACCTCTGGCCCAGCTACCCACCCAGCCAGGGTGGGGAGGAGAGAGAAGGCCACTTGCAGCACCCCCCCCCAGCCCCTGGGACAGACCCAGCTTCCAGGGGCCCCAGGAGGGAGCTGGTGGCAGTCTCTGAGAGGCCAGGGACCGAGGCTCCGCCCTCACCCACACTTAGCCACCATGATTTCCCCAACTCATCCTTACCTTTTTTTTTTTTCAAAATCACACTGTAACAAAAAAAAAAAAAAAAAAAATCAGAAAATGAAGATAAGCAATACAGAAGGATTTAATTATCCATACTTTTGCCACATGGAGATAGACACTACCAGATTTTTTTTTTGAAACATATAAATTTTTTTTTCAAAGTAGACTCGTGCTGTAGAAATTATTTTGCAATTTGCTTTTCTAACTCAACAATCTGCTGTGCACACCGTTCCACACCAATAAATAGCCGCCTCCGCCGTCCTGGTGACAGCTGTGTGGTTTCCCCTGGGTGCATCCCTGTCATAGGGCCCCTGGTCTGCCAGTGATGCCTCCAACTGTGCTGGGTGGATGCGGCCCTGGAACCAGGTGGCCCAGCCTCTGCCTCCCGG